GCGCGGGGGCAGCTCCAGGGCGCCCAGCCTGGCCTGGCCCCTTGCTGACCCCCTGGCGCTTCCTCCGCAGCCCACGAGCGAGGAAGACCTGTGCCCCATCTGCTACGCACACCCCATCTCGGCCATCTTCCGGCCCTGCTCCCACAAGTCCTGCAAGTAAGTAGAGCCCCCGCGCGCGAGGACCTGGGCGCCGCACAGCCTGCTGCGGGGCAGCTGCTGGCGCGCAGCCCACCCTGCACATCGGGCCGGGGGGCTCACGCTGGTTTTTTTTCACCCTCTTGACCCAGAGCCTGTATCAACCAGCACCTGATGAACAACAAGGACTGCTTCTTCTGCAAGGCCACCATCACGGGGGTGGACGATTTCACCAAGCCCCCCAGCTCGTAGCCCCCAGCCCCACTCCCCGGGCCCGCCTGGCTCAGCGGGGCGACCCGCCAGGCTCTGCACCAGCTGCTCCTGCCACCGGTCCTGCTGCCCTCATACCTCACCATGCCCTCCTCCTCCTCCTCCCGAGGCTGAAGGCCAGGAGCAAACAGAGGGCCTGGGCAGGGGGATGGGAGGAAGGGAGAGGCTGGCTCAGGGGAGGCCTGAAGCCAGGCTGGGGGGGCAGCATCCCTCCCCGCTCCCCCAAAGCAGAGGGAGCCGCGAGGGCATCGTCCCCCCCGCAGCAGGGACAACACCATGGACCACACGGGCGAGCAAGGGGCCTGGGCTAGCGCAGCCGTGGGCCGAGCCCGGGGCAGGACGGGCTGTACGTTTGTGTGGTGTTCAACGCGCCCCGGGACAGGGCCCGACTTCATGAGACAGAGCATTAAATTATTCTTCCTTACACAGTGCCCTGAGTCATGGGAGGGAGAAGCTGGGCCCCAGCAGCTGAACAGCCCTGGCCCTCAAGCCCTGCTCAGACAATGGTCAGAGGTAGAAGGAAATATAAATATTTAATCCCATCAGAACCAGCAGCCGGCGGCTGCTACATGATGATGCGCGGCTCCGGCACAGACTCGGCGATGGACTTGTGCGGCAGCACGTTCGCCCCGTTGAGGTAGAGCTCGTCATTCACGATGACGTCCTCACCCAAGACCGTCACGTTCTCCATGCGAACCTGCTCAGGAAAGGCCCCGTCACACTCACACTGCGGACAGGGGACAGGCACCACAGGCCCAGTCCCGTTGGCAGGGGCAGTGAGAGGTGAAGGAGCTGAGCGCTGCCCCCTTCTCACCCTGCAGCCCCTGCCCCGTCGCTTACCCACTGCCCCACAGAACAGCTCCAGCCCACGATGCAGGATTCCAGCCAGGAGTGGGAGCGGATCCGGGCCCCCTTTAGCACCGTGCAGCGCTTGATGCGCACGCCATCCTCCACCACCACTCCAGCCCCAATCGTCACGTTGGGGCCGATGATGCAGTTGGCGCCGATCTTGGCGCTGGGGTCCTGGGAGGAAGAAGAGGTGCCTGACTGGGGCCGGGCTCATGGCCAGGGAGCTCTGCACTGACCCAGCACCACTCAGCAAGCGCTGCCCACGAAAGTAGCGTGTGCCAAAGCCCTGGGGACAGGTGCAGGGACAGGAGAGCACAGTGCAAGGGTGAGAATGGTAGCAGCTACCTGGCCCTACTGGAAGGGACCCCCCCAAACACGCTGTGGGACCAGCAGCAGGACAGCACTTACCACCAGCACGTTCCCTACGATACCAGGCCCTGAATGCAGCCGCTCAGGGTGCTGGATGCGCAGTGAATGCAGGTACATGCACATGCCCGTGAGGAAGTCCTTGGGCTGCCCAATGTCCATCCAGAAGCCTGCAGGGACAGAGGCACCATGACGGCTAGAGCAGAGGCAGCAGTGCAGGCCGGGCCCCGTCGTGCAGGATCCTACCCTGCAGCTCCATGGCGTAGAGCTGCCCCTCCTGTGCCATGGCCGGGAAGATCTCCTTCTCGATGGAGGTGGGTCGCAGCTGGGGGGACACGGCGCAGGGCTGAGCGGCAACACAGCTCTGGGCCCGCAGCCCAGCCTGGCCCCCCGGCCCCTACCTGGATGCGGCGCAGGATGGCGGGGCTGAACATGTAGAGTCCGGCGTTGATCTTGTTGGAAACGAAGACGCGCGGCTTCTCCACGAAGCGGCAGATGCGGCCGCTGTCGGGCTCACTCACCACCACGCCGTACTTGGCGGGCTCCTCCACGCGGGTCACGATGATGGAGCCCTCTCCACCATGGTGCCGGTGGAAGCTGGCGAGCGCCGCGAAGGGGAACTCGCAGATCACATCGCTGTTGAGGACGAAGAAGGGCTCCCCGTCCTCGGCCAGCAGGTCACGCGCCAGCGCCAGCGGCCCCGCTGCCAGCGTCCCGTGAGCGACT